AAAATTCTCTGTGCCAATACGTTTGTCTTGTCTGGCACTATCCTTGTAATTGGCTTGGTAACATACGTATAAATATTTATGTATAATTTGTAATATATTCAAAATATGTACATAGGTATCAGTGCCTTTATTTAAGTCGCAAGACTGTAACAAATAAATAAAACAACTTTACCCCGGAGCAAAACACGTTTGGTCATTATTACCCCGTATTTGACGTTATTTCTCCGGGGACCGGTATATCACCCGTTTTGCTTGCTGATAATCTCTCCGATTAGCATTTGTCTTTTTTCGTCATCTTTTATTCAGTCATTGGCCTTGCTGGTATTTCCTTCACTTATTGGCACAGTGGAATTGTAATGCTCACCAAGGCTATACATGTGTCGATGGTAAGTTATTAATAGATTTGGTCCCGCAAATTCGTCAGCACCCAGTACAGTGGGCGGCCCTTCTGCTTGCAGTACTTCAATTGGTACTTTTAATATTGAAGAAAGAGCTTTTAATTCAATCTGTCCACCCCAAGCTGGGGTAGTTTGCAAAGCCTCACAATATTGCTCGAATTCCATGTCGTTTAGTAAGTCACCTGTTTTTGGATTTGTCATAAAACAAACAAGTGCATCCTTATGAGCGCGTATATAATTGGCCGTTTCGTTTCGTAGCTCTTGTACGCTGTAGGCAATTAATCCGTTTTGTGTTAATTGATGTCGCACCGCATTGTAAAGACAATCTCCATCGGAGGGTATATTATGAAGAGTTATTTGCCTCTCCAGCAATTTTTCCTGTATACTACGTGCTTCTATAGCTTTTGGTGCGAATTTCGCATCCTCTGCGGCAGCCCGTACATCTTCCTCGCGTTGCCGAGCTTCACGCGCCTTCTTCTCACGTCGTTTTTGAGCTTTAGAAACTCGTTGAGAACTACATCTGGAGGTTTCTTCTTCCTCGTCATTGCATAATACTTCTTTTTGCTGCTCCTGTTCATTGAGAGATCCATGTTGGCTTTCCTGGACCTTTTCTACATCTGCTAATTCTGCAGTTTGTCGCTTTTCCAGTTCGCTCTCCATACGTGCCACCTCTTCCATCGCCTCTTTTCGTTTCTTTTTGTCATTTTTTGGTGCATTTTTTTTCAATGCTTGTATTTTGGCTTGCAGCTCCTTGCGTTCACGACGGTGTCTACTAAGTACATCTTCCAGCGCCATGCCACATAAGGCTTCAGTCAATCCCAATTCATTGGTCATAATCAAATTCCCAGTAGGATCTATTCAGATTAAAGTATTTGGATACCTAAATATTGCAGCTATTAATCATTTGATTAAATTAATCGACTATGATTTAATTGTATCGTAGTTTAGTGTTTAATTAATCGATTATTAATTGATTGATTGTGAAATATCATAAAAATATTTTCAAGAAATTTAAATACTGTAGTTGTCTAATACCATGTTCGGACCGACAACGAAAACACTTTGAAATCGAGTTTTGGGATTGTGGCCTGAAAGCTGTTCGCATCGGCTGTTAGTATTCTCTCTTTGTTTACAGTTTAGGGATGGGTAAATTCGATATTCGAAGCTTCGATATTCGATTTTTAATCGAATTGTAGCTCCAAAATGGCGAATTTTTGAAATCGAACTTTGTGTTGCTAAAATTCGGATAAAATCGAATTTTTCTAGAAAAAATCGATTTTCATGTTTATTTCCAAAACATCAACTCTTCAAATTTCTTCTTACTGACTAAATTTGCCATCACTGTGTGTGTTTTTCGATCTAATGCATCGAAACAAAAAATCTGTGCCAAGAAGCAACTGTTATTCCAAACTNGTTTATTTCCAAAACATCAACTCTTCAAATTTCTTCTTACTGACTAAATTTGCCATCACTGTGTGTGTTTTTCGATCTGATGCATCGAAACAAAAAATCTGTGCCAAGAAGCAACTGTTATTCCAAACTCAATTAAAAAAAAATATTAAAAATCTGTTTTTTGTTGATTTTTTATTTAAAATTTTTGGAGGCTTTTACGTTGGTAGCATGAAACTTTTGCCTGAGAAGACCCCTAGTAAAATTTTTCGGAGAATAATTTTCTACAATAAATCAATCTTCCAACGACCTTCCAAATTTGCTTTTTGTGGAATTTTTTGAAGTAAGGGTCAAAATTACCCTTTTAGGCGGGAGCTAATGGCTAAAAATGTTCTACGAAAATATTNAGTAAAAAAACTGTTTTTTGTTGATTTTTTATTTTAAATTTTTGGAGGCTTTTACGTTGGTAGCATGAAACTTTTGCCTGAGAAGACCCCTAGTAAAATTTTCCGGAGAATAATTTTCTACAATAAATCAATCCTCCAACGACCTTCCAAATTTGCTTTTTGCGGGATTTTTTGAAGTAAGGGTCAAAATTACCCTTTTAGGCGGGAGCTAATGGCTATAAATGTTCTACGAAAATATTTCCCATGAAATTTTATTACATATGTCTTAACCTTTAATTTCGCTCAGACATTTATTTTAACAATTTTTTCGACTTTTTTGAAAACTACGTAGTCCGAGACATGAAAACTTTAGTAAGTCATAAAATAAAAATGCGAGCTAACTTTTGCAAATCCATCGAGCGTTTTAGTACTGGACGGGTATACTTTCAGAAAATGTTAACAAAGTCCGGGCTGGTTTCGGCTGTCGCACAATGTAACTTGAGTTTAACTTTTTAAACAGGTGGCCACTCTCTTCAAATGACAGTCGTTTCTTGTCGACTAGAGACGAGTAAACTCGATTCTAAAAGGTGATTTTTGACTAAAGTCAGAGTCGACTTTTCCATTCCTATTCTAAATGCGTGGCCTAGGGCGGCTTTTATATTTGATTGGTGGTAATGGAAGTTCTAGCAAATGTTTCCAACACATGTAGTTTGGTAAGCGCTGAAGAAATCCTTTGCCTACCTGGGCAACGGATATGTCTGTCGGAAGAAACCACAGTAGCGGGACAAGGGACATATGAGCGTGGCGGTTACATTTATGCTACATTAGCTGGTAGCGTGCAAGTTAGGGAANATACTGGATGGGTATACTTTCAGAAAATGTTAACAAAGTTCTGGCTGGTTTCGGCTGTCGCAATTTGAGTTTAACTTTTTAAACAGGTGGCCACTCTCTTCAAATGACAGTCGTTTCTTGTCGACTAGAAACGAGTAAACTCGATTCTAAAAGGTCGAGTTTTTTTCAGCAAAAAGGCGATTTTTGACTAAAGTCAGAGTCGACTTTTCCATTCCTATTCTAAATGCGTGGCCTAGGCGGCTTTTATATTTGATTGGTGGTAATGGAAGTTCTAGCAAATGTTTCCAACACATGTAGTTTGGTAAGCGCTGAAGAAATCCTTTGCCTACCTGGGCAACGGATATGTCTGTCGGAAGAAACCACAGTAGCGGGACAAGGGACATATGAGCGTGGCGGTTACATTTATGCTACATTAGCTGGTAGCGTGCAAGTTAGGGAAAAGGATAAGGTAACAATTGTTCAAACTAGCTTTGTAATAAATTTAATACATTGGGAATTCTTTATATGAAGTGTAAATACATTGAAGTTAAGTGTGCTGGTAGCCAGACTATTGTACCTGTGGCGGGAGATGTGGTAACGGCGCGTGTTCTACAAGTGAACCAACGCTTCGCAAAGTGTTCTATAATCTGTATTGGCGACCATATACTTGAACGAACATATCGAGGGATTGTGCGGAAAGAAGATGTCCGTGCTACAGAAAAGGATCGTGTCGAAATGTACAAATCATTCCGCCCTGGAGATGTAATACTAGCACGAGTGGTAATTGCTTGAACTGAAAGTTATTGTTTTTATTATCTACATATATTTTTGATATTATTTTTTAATATTATATCTACAAATTATGTATAGCTTCCTCAAACTGAGCTGACATGCTACCAACTTAGTACTGCAGAGAACGAATTAGGTGTAGTGGTTGCGACTTCTAGCGAGAGTGGTACAAATGGTCCACCAATGGTGCCTGTTAGTTGGACCGAGATGCAATGCCCCAATACATTAGTCAAAGAACCGCGAAAAGTGGCAAAAATTGTTGCAGAGAGCTCTTTAAAAACTGAGCTGGAGCAAGAAAAGTAAAGTGCTGGGTATATATGTATGTACATAAATAAATAAGTACATTTGTGGGTCGATTATGGATGGCAGCGCAACCGCAGTTGGGTTTGTCAGTGGGCGACGCCACTGAAATGTAAATTATATTATGAATAGCAACTATAGTTAAACATTTAGAAATAAATGAAATGGGTATTAAATTTGAAAAAATACCGGTTAAATATAATTGCTGACTTTTTGAGCTAGCAAGCATCTTACTGGTATATTCAAATATCATATCGAATTCGAATAATTCCTACGGTCTGACTTCTTGAATTGAAATTTCGAAAATAAATCGTTCTTTTCGATCCCTGACTTATTCTTCATACGCATATATTTGTATGCTATAGGTACGAATAACCGCCTAAGCCGACTTCGGAAAGAATTGAGTTATATATGCTATCGTATTCCGCAACTACTATTCCATGTGTATGTGAAATCCCCATCTCGCCAGCTAGGCTATTTAAAAAGTTATAGACGAACATATTTTGGTTTCCCCTAAAGATTAACATTACAATCCAAATGTTTTAAGCGTTTTTTCTCGAACTCAGGTTTTTCGCTACCATTCCGCAGGCCCTGGGATCAAGCCAAGTTTCCGACTAACATCAAAAACAATAAATAAACCAAAAGTGGTTCTAATAGCGGTTGCCCCTCGGCCGGCAATGACAAACCTCCGAGTGTATTTCTGCCTTGCGAAACAGCTTCGCATAAAAATACAATCGCCGTTCGGAGTCGGCGAAAGACTATAGGTTCCTCCCCTTTGTGTGACAACATCAAGGCGCACTTCACAAATCAGGGGAGAAGCTCGGCCAAACGCTAACATATTGTGTAAGCGCCAATCTATTATTATTAAAGTGCTTGTTTGAAGTAGCTAAGACTTACCGTTAATTTTTGGCAATTTCTTTTGTTGAAAGCAAGGTACATTGCACAGGTAGTATCCGTAGAGCAGCTGATTTTATTTATTTTCAAATTATTTGGTCTCGAAAATGTAAAATATTTTGAATTTTTTGTTAAAATCCATTTGCATGTGAAACCTTTTTCCATACAAAACAAGCGATTGAATAGCAGCTTTTGGAACGTTCGCCCAACTCAGCAGCACAACCGCTGATTACTGGCCCTTGTAAAGGATGGATCAATGCTTCGAGAAGCAAACAAATTTACTAGGAAAGAAAGTTGCATCAATTTTTATTTTTTCCAATTTAAATTTTTTATTTTTTATAATTTTTTGTATTTCACATGGCACGCTTTGATTTAGAAGAAAAAATTCAGAACAGTTTTTGACACTTTCGATACCAGAAGCAACAACAAAATACACGCAAATGTTGTTTTTGCTCTACTGATACTACCTGTTTAATGTGCCTTGGTTTAAAGTGTTACGCATTTTCTTCATACAATGTAAGTAGATTAGAAAAGTTTTTATGGGGAAGCAAATGAGCATCACGTTGCGCTTTATTATACTAAATTTTAATGAACTACATAGCTGCAAATACAATTTTTTCTAAAGATTCTGATTTTGATGAAACTTTACAGAATTGATTTTCATGGTTTTTGCAAAAAGTCGGAATTTTGGATTTATATGGTTCTTGTTGGGAAAAATAGATTTACTTTCATAAACAAAAATAATAATAAACGTAGCTNTCGTTGCGCTTTATTATACTAAATTTTAATGAACTACATAACTGCAAATACTATTTTTTCTCAAGATTCTGATTTTGATGAAACTTTGCAGAATTGATTTTCATGTCGGAATTTTGGATTTATATGGTTCTTGTTGGGAAAAATAGATTTACTTTCATAAACAAAAATAATAATAAACGTAGCTAAGATGTTGTCCTAATTTATATTTTACTGTGTTTTCCTCAATTCGAAGCACATACATTCAGATCAGAAAATAATAATTATTAATGGAGAAAACACTTCATCATCACTTATAACTGGTTCATAGGCACGCCATATTAATGAGCTGTCAAGGCGTGGAAATACCGAACATCGATTACATTTGGCGTCCCGTATAAAATAAATTAATTGACAGGGCAATTGGTCAAAAAAGAGGACTGTCCCGTATAATACAGGGCGAATGGTCACCTATAGGCGCATATAAATTTAATCAGCTTCGGCTTTGAAATTTTCTTTTTTTAAATCGTATTCCATTTGAAAGGGATATACTAAGTTCTCGTTTAATGTTGCTTTCGCACGGTCATATATGTGAGTTACGCGATTTTTATCTCCATAGGAGCATTCGAAACGCACATATTCCATCCAGACCGAGGTGTTATCCTTTCCAAACTGTAAAACCATATTTTCATAAANCGTATAAAATAAATTAATTGACAGGACAATTGGTCAAAAAAGAGGACTGTCCCGTATAATACAGGGCGAATGGTCACCTTAGCAATAGGTACTTGCATATATATATACACATACTTATGTAGGCGCATATAAATTTAATCAGCTTCGGCTTTGAAATTTTCTTTTTTTANACATTCAGATCAGAAAATAATAATTATTAATGGAGAAAACACTTCATCATCACTTATAACTGGTTCATAGGCACGCCATATTAATGAGCTGTCAAGGCGTGGAAATACCGAACATCGATTACATTTGGCGTCCCGTATAAAATAAATTAATTGACAGGGCAATTGGTCAAAAAAGAGGACTGTCCCGTATAATACAGGGCGAATGGTCACCTATAGGCGCATATAAATTTAATCAGCTTCGGCTTTGAAATTTTCTTTTTTTAAATCGTATTCCATTTGAAAGGGATATACTAAGTTCTCGTTTAATGTTGCTTTCGCACGGTCATATATGTGAGTTACGCGATTTTTATCTCCATAGGAGCATTCGAAACGCACATATTCCATCCAGACCGAGGTGTTATCCTTTCCAAACTGTAAAACCATATTTTCATAAACTTGTCGCCGACGATCAGTATCCTTTTTAGTCTGAAAGATGAAGCCAATTATGCGTATTATGGGTTATTTGTTCAAAAGCTCACCAATTACCTTTAATATAACTTGAGATTCCAATTCAGCCATTTTCTCATGCAACTTGAGACAGGGCGGTGGTAACTGACTTAAATGATCGTACTCTTTACGTACCTTATGAAAGGGAGAATTAATCATACAAAATTCCAGATACTGCGCACGAAATATTCCGAATTTGGGACTCGTCATTTTAATGGCATCACGATAGAGTCGTTCAAGAGTCGAACGGTCTTCATCATATCTAGTTTTGAAGTACTGAATAGCCAACTCAAATATGGGTCCTGATTTATCGCCAAGGTCTTTTACTGCTTTCGCATGGATTTTTTCTACCATGTCAGAAGTGTTTTGACTTATATAGTATGAAATCCACACTTCATATAATTTAACTGACTTATGAGCAGAGCAAACCTCACTTAGCATAGTTTCAGCAATTTTCCTTCCAGTTTCAGTCACAATNAAAGTACTGAATAGCCAACTCAAATATGGGTCCTGATTTATCGCCAAGGTCTTTTACTGCTTTCGCATGGATTTTTTCTACCATGTCCGAAGTGTTTTGACTTATATAGTATGAAATCCACACTTCATATAATTTAACTGACTTATGAGCAGAGCATACCTCACTTAGCATAGTTTCAGCAATTTTCCTTCCAGTTTCAGTCACAATTAACAAACGTAGAAAAACACAATAGTGTTCCTCACTCATTAGACCTAATTCGTGACCCATTTTCAAAGCCATAGCCAGGTACTTACGCCTAATTTTCAAATCTGTTTCATTATTTTCGTTTATAATTAGCATTGCGCTAATGTAATCATGGCACATTGTCCGCGTTTTTAGCTGAAAACGTAAAATGTACATACATATATGTAATCAGCTTGAATACAAAGTTTTTTTAATCACAAAAATCTTGGTTACTTACAGTTTTTAATGCCGTTTCGTATATTTTAGAACAAAGTTCGATGCGTTGTCTCGTTGTTCGTTCCTTAAAAACCGGCTTGATCGAAATTGTACCACTGTCGGTCGTGTCTTGAATTTGGCTTCCNGGTTTCATTATTTTCGTTTATAATTAGCATTGCGCTAATGTAATCATGGCACATTGTCCGCGTTTTTAGCTGAAAACGAAAAATGTACATATATGTAATGAGCTTGAATATAAAGTTTTTTTTAATCACACAAAAATCTCGGTTACTTACAGTTTTTAATGCCGTTTCGTATATTTTAGAACAGAGTTCGATGCGTTGTCTCGTTGTTCGTTCCTTAAAAACTGGCTTGATCGAAATTGTACCACTGTCGGTCGTGTCTTGAATTTGGCTTCCTTCTGCAGTCTGTACATTATCTGTGGCAGAGGCAGTCTCAATTTCTGTTCTTTTGGCATATTCCTTTAAATCGTTTAGAGCAAAGCCACGCAGCTCCCTCTGTGCCAAGAAATCCCACAGTTTTTCCTGTGAAGGATAACGTTCTAGTAAATCTTCAATTATTTTTAATTGCAGGCTAGCTGTGATATTTATAAAGGAAGTATCCTCGCATCTACGCACTAATCCGATGAAAAATGGCAAATTAGTAATAGTGGTACGGCTATTTCTATAAACACATTCTGCTTGACGCAGGGCGCTTTCATAATCTAGTCTCTGGCCAGCCAATATTCGTTTATGGGCTACGAATACTAGCAAGTCAAATAATGTTTTGGTGAGAATTTCTTCATTAGGATGACGTTGAAGTCCCCGTGTACAAATGTCCTGCCATATGAGGCTGTCACTATCGTTGCTAAAAGCCCAAAGCGCTGCTTCAACCCAATTTTTTTCATTGGAACCGTGATACTAATAAAAACAAAGTAATGAATTTATTGTCTCTTTAAAACAACGTTTGTATTACTATTTTTTGATCTTACTGTAAGCATTTTTTCGTAGATACCGAGGACTTGCGTTGGGTTCGAATTTTTGCTAAATTCTATGAAATGGTTCCACAAACTTTCGGCTTCAGGAAACTTTTGGAGGCACTCTCGATACAATTTTGTTATGTGATTTATCAGATTATTCTTAAGACCCCGTAGCTCTGTTTTGTAACTGGCTTCTTTACGTTCCACCAAACGATACATTTTGCGCTCGAGTATGATGTATTCCACGTACGTACGGCTATTAACACTTTTCTGAGTGAGTTGCAGGGCGAAGGACTCCCTCTTCTGCTTGTAATCACTGAAATTGTATCAATATAAGAAAAACGTTCGTGTAAAAGGTTCCATGCGATGTTTACCTGATCTCGTTGTCATCGCATATGTTATATCGTTTTAATTGCTCATAGACGGGCAAAGCACGCTCTTGCAATTCTTGGACTACTTCCATTTTTCACTTATTTTTTTGGGGTTTTGGGTTTTTCACTTAGACGCTAATCTTTTTATTGTCAAAAGAAATCCGAACCAGCACGAATAAATGTAAACAAAATTAGAGTTGGACGCGAAAAACCACGTTGCTTATCACCTGATCGATGACCTGATCGAACAGGGTTTCAGCAGGGCTGCCAACTATCTTTAGCTATGATGTGCCATATTGAGGATAAAAAAGTGCCTAAAAAGGTGCCATCCTTTTTAATCTTTCTCATTTAGCACTAAAATAAGAACCACATTTCTAAAACAAAAGTGCAAAAGTCCTTTTCAAAAGTCTGTCAAACTCAAGAATTTCCAAAACAGACTACAGGATCAGTTACACCTTGCGTGTAAAGTGGCTATCGAAAGCAGTTTAATTTCCGAATGTCTGTTGTGCTGCAAAAAAGACTTTCTGGCTATTTACACGGGAAAGTGGACTTCTGGATTTCGCATTTTGGCAGCAAAATAGTAAAAAAAAGCGCTTGTATTGCCACGTTTAATCGCAACTTTAAAAGCGTGTCAGACATGGCAATGCAATATATGTATTTCGAAAAGGCTGTCAAATTGAGACATTTTCTGAAAGAAGTTGCATGTACAGCCACACATTGCATGTAAAATGTCTTTCGTAAGAGATTTTTTTATTTCCGAAAGGGAAATTGCTGATTGCTAGTGCAGCACGAGCAAGTTGAAATATATTTCCGAAATCGATTTGCGCGCTGTTAGATGCAGTCACACCATGCAGCATTAATTTCTGAAACTGATTTCCGAAAAGTAACAGCAATGTCTTTCTGGCAGTGCACACATGGAATTAAAATTTCTCTTTCTCAATTTAACAGCGAATTGCGTGGAAAAGTGGGAAATATAAATCGTGTTTATTTGGGTTGTCCAGCTCAGTATCACGATCATTTCTCACGGAAACGGTCTGGATCATTCTCATTGGAGTTGGCAGCACTAATTTTATACTACTAGCACAAGGAGGATGAAATTGTAAAAATTAATTTACTAAGAGCCAGTTTTTCTGTGCACGGCCGTGGTTTAAACTAAGTTTAAACGCCCGATCTGGCTGGTTTAAACTAAGATCAATTTAACTCGGTTTACTTAATAAAATTAGCCCCTTTTTAAGAAATCTCCATAATACGTTTTGCAAATCGCACCGATTTCAAATCGTACGATTTGCAACATGCCGAATGCTTGGTAACTTTAGTCGATAAAACAGATTCCTATGATTTTCTCGATTGACAAAAGAGAGCTTATCAATTTCCAAACTGACAGCAAAATAATTCCCGTCCCCCGTCTCTTCTGTAATAAGTATTNCACTTATTTTTTTGGGGTTTTGGGTTTTTCACTTAGACGCTAATCTTTTTTATAGTCAAAAGAAATCCGAACAAATGTAAACAAAATTAGAGTTGGACGCGAAAAACCACGTTGCTTATCACCTGATCGAACAGGGTTTCAGCAGGGCTGCCAACTATCTTTAGCTATGAGGTGCCATATTGAGGATAAAAAAGTGCCAAAAAAGGTGCCATCCTTTTTAATCTTTCTCATTTAGCAATAAAATAAGAACCACATTTCTAAAATAAAAGTGCAAAAGTCCTTTTCAAAAGTCTGTCAAACCCAAGAATTTCCAAAACAGACTGCAGGAGCAGTTACACCAGGCGTGAAAAGTGGCTATCGAAAGCAGTTTAATTTCCGAATGTCTGTTGTGCTGCAAAAAAGACTTTCTCGCTGTTTACACGCTAAAGTGGACTTTTGGATTTCGCATTTTGGCAGCAAAATAGTAAAAAAAGCGCTTGCATTGCAACGTTTAATCTCAACTTTAAAAGCGTGTCAGACATGGCAATGCAATATATGTATTTCGAAAAGGCTGTCAAATTGAGAAGTTTTCTGAAAGAAATTGCATGTACAGTCACACATTGCATGTAAAATGTCTTTCGAAAGAGATTTTTTTATTTCCGAAAGGGGNCGCTGACAATTTTGGTGTTTTGATAATTCTTTGAGCTTGTATATTTTTGTGTTTTGGTCAAATATATCCACTTTAAGGCTTCGTAAATTGTATTAAAGAATAGTCGGAGTTTTTGTTGGTACTGACGATATAATTAGAGAATTATGTCTGATAAACTAAAAGGTGACACGTCACGTCCATCGGCTACAACTGCATCTATTTTAGTAGCTGCCCCAAATCTAACTGCAGGTCCAACAACTACACCTGTTGTGAAAAATCCACTTTTGAGTGCATCAGTGACAGGGCTAACATTTGATGATCTTCCGAATAAGCCATTACTATTACCACCGCTGGCTATTAACCGAGGTAAGTTTCTTTTGTTTCTATTGAGAACAACTTGTTGAGCTGCAGAGCCAAGTCAAATTAAACAATCAGATTTTATCAAAATTTTATTATTTTTAAATTTTATTTCTTCGTATGTACTATATTGGTCATATATATATACATATGTATTGGTATGTAAGTATANTGCAGCACGAGCAAGTTGAAATATATTTCCGAAATCGATTTGCGCGCTTTTAGGTGCAGTCACACCATGCAACATTAATTTCTGAAACTGATTTCCGAAAAGTGACAGCAATATCTTTCTGGCAGTGCACACATGGAATTAAAATTTCTCTTTCTCAATTTAACAGCGAATTGCGTGGAAAAGTGGGAAAGTGGGAAATATAAGTCGTGTTTATTTGGGTTATCCAGCTCAGTATCACGATCATTTCGCACGGAAACGGTCTGGATCATTCTCATTGGAGTTGGCAGCACTAATTTTATACTACTAGCACAAGGAGGATGAAATTGTAAAAATGAACTTACTAAGGGCCAGTTTTTCTGTGCACGGCCGTGGTTTAAACTAAGTTTAATCGCCCGATCTGGCTGGTTTAAACTAAGATCAGCCAATCAAATGCCAACCAGCTGTTCAATTTAAACTCAGTTTACTTAATCTAAGTTTAAACTGGCCCTAAATGGGGAAAAACACATTTAAACAAAATAATATTCACTTAAACAAATATTTAGCGCGAAGGAAGTTTATCTGAAGCAAGTTAAAAGAAGCAATGGCAGAATATATGTTTGTGTATACAATCATTTGTCAGTGCTACCAAACCGTACTGCCATATTATCAGTGAGACAAACCAAAAAGAGCGGATCATAAATTGAACCAGTTCTCTATCAGGATCATGTCGTTATTGTTGCATTCATGAGCAAATTTTTATCCGGATACCGATCATTGCCCACGAAAACACAGCGATTGCCACGTCTGACACGCTACACGCCAGCAGAAAATTGCAGTATTGTGTTTAAGAAGTAGCTGTTCAAAGCGCAAAAGGAAAAATTTGGCAAGTTTATTTTAATTCGTTTTAATAAAACTAGGCATGTAATTTCTTGCGCTAAATATCAGATGATGTCGAACAGACCTGTTGACAACTCAGTGAGGCATGAGCGTGGCTTTCGTTTAAGGTATTATAATGTCAAAATATTACAAGCGATTCGAAATTCATAATTTTTTATTTTCCAATTTGACATATAGGTTGGATCTTATCAGATCAATCTCAGATTCAATCACACTTTGTTGAATGAATTTTGCATCGATCTGTCTATTCACAGGTCTATTCTGCGCTGGTAATAAAAAGTTTGTAACCGGTAAATAAAGTTCCTGTTAATTTTTAAACCCTTTTCGCATTCTGTATACTCTTGTAACCGGTAAATTTTGTTACCATCTCATAAGCTGGTAACAAATTATTGCCCCGTGAAATATGCAATGCCAGGATTTGCACAATTCTTAACTGCATTACCAACGTACCTAGAATCGCGGTGACAAGAACTGGTAACATTTTTTGGTAATACAATTTTCCGGTTACAAAATCTTCGGTAACGTGCAGAATAGACCTGTCAGTGTCAAAATTAGCCCCGTTTTTAAGAAATCTCCAAAATACGTTTTGCAAATCGCACCGATTTCAAATCGTACGATTTGCAACATGCCGAATGCTTGGTAACTTTAGTCGATAAAACAGATTCCTATGATTTTCTCGATTGACAAAAGAGAGCTTATCAATTTCCAAACTGACAGCGAAAATAGTTCCCGTCCCACGTCTCTTCTGTATTAAGTATGAAAAACCATAAACACCCCTTTAAAACTAATGCAATTTGGTTTGGATGTTGCTATTTTGCACCTTTCGCTGACAATTTTGGTGTTTTGATAATTCTTTGAGCTTGTATATTTTTGTATTTTGGTCAAATATATCCACTTTAAGGCTTCGTAAATTGTATTAAAGAATAGTCGGAGTTTTTGTTGGTACTGACGATATAATTAAAGAATTATGTCTGATAAACTAAAAGGTGACACGTCACGTCCATCGGCTACAACTGCATCTATTTTAGTAGCTGCCCCAAATCTTACTGCAGGTCCAACAACTACACCTGTGGTGAAAAATCCACTTTTGAGTGCATCAGTGACAGGGCTAACATTTGATGATCTTCCGAATAAGCCATTACTATTACCGCCGCTGGCTATTAACCGAGGTAAGTTTCTTTTGTTTCTATTGAGAACAACTTGTTGAGCTGCAGAGCCAAGTCAAATTAAAAAATCAGATTTTATCAAAATTTTATTATTTTTAAATTTTATTTCTTCGTATGTACTATATTGGTATATATGTATATATACATATGTTTTGGTATGTAAGTATGCTTTTCTTTACTCTAAATTTATTCCATACTTCTTGTTGAATGTGATCGGTATGTTGGCAGGTCCAGTGAAACTTGGCGTCTTCGGCAACACCAAACAATTAACCAAATCAATAATATAATTAATAGAAGAAGCAACAATGCGCCTAGTACTATGGCGGCTATAGAGGCCTCAGTGAGCACTAAGTCGCGTACATCAATATTGTACGAACGCTGATTGCCTGCCACATCGAATCCAGTAACTGTCACTTTTGGTTCGCAGCATGTCGCTATATAAGTAGCTTTTAGTGCTTCTGTGGAGCCGACAGTGTAACTATTTCGATACAACAGCCCTACTGAAGGCATAGCTTGTAAACGCAAAATGCCCGTTTGCCAATCTTGTGCAGTTATGTCTAGTGTCCAGAAGCGTTCCGCACAATCAGAGGACTCTGTTTTAATGTTATCACAGCGGCTGCCAAATGTCCAATCAATAGAGGGGGCAGTCGTATCCTTGAAATGAGATAAATGAAACTTATTACATGCATTTAAGAAAACATTTCTAATATGTTTACCTGTCCATCAACCACTGAAGAGCTTACTACTTTTAAGTTGAGCGATAGCGATGTTGTACCCCCACCATGGCAAGTGAAAGTAATTTTATCAACGGTTCCCTGTGGTGTGCCATTCGGTATCAGAACCGTCACTGTAACGATAGTCATTTCTCCAGGTCGCAAGAAAATTCTTTGTGGGTTAAGACGCAATAGAAATCGTCTTTCGTCAACCACCTGTATATTATGATATATTACTTCTGTGCGCGTGTTAGTGACCTCAAACAGCAGTGTGCCCAACATGCCTGGGGCCAGAAGCAATTGCGACTGAAGACCCATCTCGATTTTCGTTACATCGCGCTGCAATACCGCTGCTCCACGTATTAATCCATTATTCGCGTTCAATATTGCGTTAGCTATCCCGGTTTGATTATTTGGGGCCACGGACTGGTCGTCATGTATTTCGATGTCTGAGAATGTTTCCACTTGATCCTTTGGTAATTGCTCGGATGCTTCCTCCAAGGTTAGCGTTTCAACCGAAATTCCTTCATTTTTTTCTTCGTTAGCAAAACGGAAATTTTCGTGTGTCATAGTTTTATTGATAAGTGAACCTGGTAAGCTATTCAAACGGGAATCGGGCAAGCGTAAAGGATATGTACTCCTACTCTGCGTAAGATATGCGTCGAAGCGTTTGATGAGATCATCTGAAAATAATAACAATTGTATCATTTCGTTCCTTTGCCTGAATAACGTCAGATCTCAAAAAACAATTTCGAGTTTAGCAAGGCAAATAAAATATGCCTTGGAGTTGAGTATAGAAATAGCCGTCACCTCTTCTTTTATGTTGTCTAAAAAATTGTAAAAAAAAAAATGCAGACTAGAATAATTTTAGGGCAAAAAACTATGCTAGGAATACATTAAACGTGCGATATTTTTTTTTGTTCTTATGCTATTAAAGAGTTCTTCTTTTACATATGTACATACATATGTACCTCCATACTTAAGCAATGCATTGTGATAATAAATTATCAGGCCGATTCTGAACAGAAACTCCCTGGGAGTTTTCTCTCTTTTCCCTTTCCTCCTATCATGAATAAAAATTCCCTGAGAAATTTTTATTTTAAATGGCGGAGTTACGCTGTCTTTCGAAGTTCGAATTTCCTCCTCCCAAACTTTCGGGGGAAATGCTACACCCTTTGAGTTAATTATTGGAGGATTTCTTTCTCCGGAGAATCAAATTCCCGTAGAACAAACTTCCAGGGAATATTCTGAATTGGGCTGTATATTTTTCCCATATTACACAGAAAATTTCTGTGGCTATTTGATAAAACCACTTAAGTGACCTTAGAAGATTTAACTTTGTATTAAAAGATAATAAGGTCCCTTCAAAAATTTTATATAATTATTCATCTTTAATTAAAAAGACATATTAAATACACCTATGGCTAGTTAATCGTTAAAATATTATTTGGGAATTCAGTGAAATATTGCTTTAAATAGAAAATGACCTAGCTCGAGCTAAGTTGTTTTAAGAAAAAAAAAAACGGCCTCTAGCTCAATAAAATTTTTGAGTATATTTATAAAAAAAAAATAAAAATCCAACAACGAATATTTTTTACCGAAAAAATTAAATTACGTATTTAACGATTATATACCCTTCATAGAAAAAATAAAAAATAACAATCTATACGTTGGCGTTCTAATGTAAATAATATTCCAACGTATGCATGTTCAATGTGTTTTCTACTCGTATCTGCTCTTTACACACATTTCCTTTTAGGTTTCGCCATTCCGCTGCTCCGATTTAATCATGTCAATCCTGGGTGAATATGTTATCAACGCTGGTTGGAATATTTATTCATGCTTATCGCCAGATGAGACATGTGCACATATGTATGTATATACATTTATATCGTTACCTTAATATAGAAAGGCCCTATCTCATATTACTGTTTCTTAAAACATAGTTTGAAAATTTAAAGAAAAGCAAAGTTCTACAGTTGCGAATTTCGTCGAACTGCTGATTTTTACTAAAGATAATATTTTATCTAACCACTGTAATATTTGTTTTCAATTTCTGTTAGATATATTGTGAGCTATTTGACAGATTTTATATAAAATTGGACTCAAAATGAAAATGAGTTAGGGCCTTTCTATATTAAGGTAACGATATGTACGTATGTAATTTCATACAAATCTGATTCTCAGTTGCCGTCGCTAACTTGCGCTGTATTATAAAATACATTACTGCTCAAAAATAACATTGATGCTCGACAACTTGCTGAACCAGCCTATTTCATTCAGCATAAGTTTGTCTTCAAAATATTTGTCGTATTAGTATTTAGTCTAATTTTAAACTTTGTGCAGGGAAGAATCACATATACTACTCTCGTTTAAAGATCGCGTACTCGAAATTTTATTACCTATTTCCGGTCTTCACTACTTACCCAAAAAAAGATCCGATTTACGTTCGGCACGAACAAATACTTTGTACTCAGTATTAAGGGATTCTGGAACCATTTTCAATTTGTAGGAAGTGGCTTTACGTAGTTTATTCAGAGGTACATAAGCATCTAATCGGTGATCGTCCAATCCAAGTGTAAGAAAATGTGATTTAAATTTTACCAGCTTCCTTAAGTTTATATCTAATGGGTGAGAGAAGATATTAAAAAACTTCAGTTTCAATGTCCGAAGAAAATATGAATCATATGCGATAATAAAGAAATACTGTATGAAAACAGTGGTGCAGTTAGATAGAGTTGGTACACCCTTACAAGATACCTAAATATAGATTCTGTGAGCAATGTTTGAAATTTAAATTTTTGATATTACACTTTGTGCGCTTTTCAACAATCCCATGATGCCGAATGATGTGTAGGTTTGAAATTATTTACTACAAATAATTACGGAACGTTCTGTACCTTTTAAAGGTACCTCGACAAGTAAAACTTGCAAATTTTAGAATTTGCTTTATTGAATTGTTGTTTGCCTTCAAAGCATGAAACAAAAATAAGAAAAATCAAGAGTTTCTGAAACAGCATACAAAGAACAAATAATCGGGGCTAACATTGAATCCACTGTTGTCTGATTTTCGTGACATCCACCTGATGCGATGACTAACTCCCGTGTTGTAATGCACGGGTTGGCACGGGACGAATCGTAACAATTCGCTGGCGTTTTTTTTACCAGTCTTTTCGCGGCCAACTATTGAGCTCGTGTCTTTTTCGTGTCTAGTGATTATATGTATGTCGTCGCCTGGGTAAAAGATTGTCGTAAGTGCCATTTTGACGATTTTTAGTTCTAGATGCAGTTATATATTCTAATATAAGGTCTTTCGATTGGTGTTATCAGTTTTTAGATATCTCCTATAGTTTCCGAGATATTGACTGCAATTTTTTCGATAATTTAGTAAAAATTTAGTTAGTGATGCAGCCATATTAAACTAATCAATATCTTAAAAATGGCGTTCTCCATTTTTGGATATCTCCTTTAGTTTCCGAGATATTGAATAAAAAGTGTTGTTAATTTGGTAGAAATTTTGATCACATTTTGTCGTATTTCATACAAAGTGGCGGCCAAATTGTGGACAAATGACGCTTACGACAAAATTTTACTAAAGCAAATCCTTCATAAACTCAAAACTAATTAACTAATTAACAAAAAACATGAAAAATTAAATAATTTAAGAATTTTGTGAACTAGTAACATTTTAAGAGACTTTGGAGAAAATCTATCTTCGCGTTTTTGAGAAATTGCATTGCAAACTTCAGTCGCGATTTCCCACAACCTGCCGAAATTAACATACGACAATCTTTTACCTAGGCGACGATGTGTTCAAAGTACATCCTACGCTCGTAGATATTCGATTCCAGTGATAGCATTTTCGTAGATTAATCGAGACTTAATTCCTTTAGGGCCGTTTTCTTTTTAACTTTAAAGCTCACTATATTTAAATGTTGCTTTAAAACTTATAGTTGTGTCTAAAGTAATGTATTTTGTTATCGGTTTTTAATTTGTTTACAACCAAGAAACATACATACATACATTAAATAGCAGCAATCTTGAAATATAAAGTGAGCTCCTAAGGTAAAGGTTGCCTGAGAAAACGGCCCTTAGTGTTTATACCTTTCACCTCAACCTTTAAATTCGCAAAAACAGATGATTTTATCACCTTACCTTTGCCTTGCAATTCTTTTGTTACTTCTCTATTTGAAAATATGTCATAATTAATACAAATTATCAGCTAATCGAACAACCTCTAACTAAAATTTATTTCTCAAATATGGCAACACCAGTGTTGCTGTCAGCTGTTTTTGGCACATCTCTTGGCTATCAATCATATGTTTGTAAATTCATCAAAAGAGAAAAAACGAAGAAAATTTGCGTTCGTGTGTTTTCCTGTAATTTTATAAATAATAATCAACTAAATCTTTAATGCCGGTAAACGAAAAAGCAGTATTAAACAAACATTATAAATAAAAATGAAAACAAGGTGCAAAGATACCACAATGTGATAATTTTCATCAAAAATTCTATACTGTGGAAAAGAAATATGTACTACATAGTAATCCCTCGAGAACTCCATTGAAAAAAAGGACTTTGAAATACTCTTTCCGCAGCTAAAGTCAAATTAGATAATAAGTGTGTGAATAAATAAAAAAAGTTGTAATGATAGGGTTTGCTCTGGGTTTTCGGTCGTATATGCACAATAAATAAACGCCGATATTTACTTTTACGCATGTATGTAAAATCCCATATTATTTCTATATGTATATGTACTAGAGACCTGCACGATTAGGTATAAATGGAACACGTTAATAATCGCCGAGTATGAACAGAAACGATGGCAATACTTGAATTTAAAGGAGCAAGCGCAGAACACTTACATTTCTCAAAAAAAGGGCTCTACAGAGGAATTTACATTGATTAGCACAACATAAATTTTTTTGGGGGAAACGAAATTTAGTTTTATTCAAGGTCAAAAGGTCTAAAAATGGATTTCTTTAAACTTGAATATCTCGCAAACTATTTAAGACATTTTACTCCCATTTATGTACTAAATATTATTCTTTATTGATAAAATTTATGAAAAATCACTATAAAAATAAAAATTCTTTAAAAATAGAGTTTTTCCTGTAAAAATCCCTTCATTATATATAAATACCATAGTTAAAAATGGTGTAAATCGATTTTTAATTTGATATACAATTCATATCTGAACAAACGCAAGCATTTTTGGGCAGCAATTCTTTCTGCGTAGAGGGCATTCGGCCGCTCTTAGGGATTATAACCAGGGTTGCCAGGTGTCCGGTTTTTGACCGGACAGTCCGAATTTTAGTCTGTTAGTCCGGGGGACAATAAAAAACGGACTGTAAAGTGTGTGATCTGTTTAAACCAGTGATGGGCAGCGCAGGTGGAACTCTATAAGCAAGTTCAAACGTTTTGTACATGCTTATGGAGTTCTGCCAACGTTACCCGTGCCTGGTTTAAACACACACATACGCACCCCTCCATCCCCCCCTCGCCTCCCAGTTTCATCCCCTCGGCAAACGAAAAGTGTTCGGTTTTTCAAAAACAACCTGGCAACCCACAACCTGGTAACCCTGATTATAACCCTTAAGCCTGCTATACAGTTCAAAGCGAGCGTGTACACGACCTTTTTATTTTGACCAATATCTTCGTTATTACTTAACTTTTTTGCAATAGTTGATAATTCAAAAGATAGAGAATTAAAATATCTTTCAGAATTATAGAAAAAATACTAATTTAAAATGCATAATATGCCATTTTTTCAAGCTCACACTCAACTTTGAGCGCACGTAAAGCATTTGCCTGTGAACGACAAGTTTTGACAGATGTGCGTGAGCGTCCATAAGAATACAAATGGAATTCTTTGCCTTTGCGAACGTTCACGCTCACGCTCGCATTGAACTGTATAGCAAGCTTAACTAAATATAATTCTTTCTGTGTTGCCGGATAAGAGGACCGGAAGTATGTATTTTTGCGCAGAACTTCTTTCTGCGTAGGCGACCTTTTTACTAGCAGAAACTAGCAGGTGTCAAAATGAATAATAAAATTGCAGCGAGAGCGTAAACGCAAAATAGAGCGTAAAATTGAGAAGATAAAACATGTTGAAATAGTTATTGAACACAAAGCTAGTAAATACCAGTGATGAAATTGATGGTACAATTGTGCTTTTTTGGTAAATTTTTAATCTCAAAAGTGCATTGGTACTACATCGACATTTTTGATACAATTTTGTCAAAACACGGCACTACGCCAAATTCTGTCGAAATACCACTGTGGATGAAAATATACTCTTCTTTTTCCACTTTATACAAGTAAATACGAGGTTCTTATTAAAAACGACAGACTTGCCAAAATCAGTAAACAGTTGCTGTAATAATATAAACCGAAGAAAAGACTAAATATTTTAGTGAAACTATGATTGCATTAAATCCAACTCTTTTTTGTAAAGTTTTCGTGTTACTTGCACTTTATAAACTTACTTGTGTGCTTTTGTCGATTGCGTTGATATATATTCATTCGTATTGGAAACTTAAGAGCACAACTTCACAAAATGCTTTTCATGCGTTCAGAATACGGGTTTTGATGACCTTTTTAAACTATTCATGGTCATCGATGATATTCAGCCCTACAGCATGCTTACCTATCACGCAATGACCAGTGATAACTCCCACCAGAAGTGAGAAGTGTAACTTGCTTAGTCTCATCTTGCATTCCAAGGTCTTTGTCCAGCGCCCATCCGTCCAGAAGTAGACCGCATGAGGTCAGGGGTGCACCCAGACCTTGAGAAATTTCTCAAGTGTTTGCTGCATTGTAGAGGTTACACTAGAGAGGAAAAAATCCGAAGCCTCCTGTATTGGGGCTACCTCTGCTTAGAAAACACGAAAAGGGTTTTCACGCTCTGGGCACTTTTGGCACTTATTTTCACGCTCTAATTACCGAAACAGCCCGCAAAGCGAAGAAATTCCAGGAAGTCGTTGCCGTTCGCAAGAATCTCTCTCACTGGCAGTGTTGCCAGGACTACAAAAGTATAAAGGCCAGCTTTTTCAACATTTCATTAACTCTTACATATTTACAAAGAGGACGTGAACCGGATGAAAATTTTGGTCGGTTCGGTTTAGCGGTTCGAACCGTTTTTACACTTTTGGATTGGGGTTTTGGTTCGGTTCAACGGGTCGGAAATAAAAAAAAAGAACGCGCAAGGCTAAGTGTAGAGTGTCAAGTGCAATAACGCGCAAGGTTTAATTTCAAGTGTATGTTAAATGAGACGAGTTGCCTTTACATTTGATATTGCCACATGGTAAACAAACAAGGTATGTATTACCATATTTAACGAAAAGAAACAAAAGCGTGTAAATTTATCTATTGAAAATTGGTTTAAACGAACCTTTAAGCCTTTATGAAAAGTGGTTCGGTTTTCGGTTCGGATCAAACATTTGTGGAAAATTTCGGTTCGGTTAATGGTTCAGTTAATTAATAGAAATAAAATTGTAGTTTAAAAACTAAAACCTCGCTATTATATTTTCATTCGTACTGTCATAAAGTATGTAACTTGAGAATAGAAATCGCTGCATCTTTTAGGCGCATCGATATTACATAGTTACATCCCGAGCTAATAAAAGGGAGGTAAAAATCGGTTTTCCAGTTCAAAACCGGTTCAAGTCCCTGGAGGAAATAAAATAAAATCGGGTTTTTATACAATTATTTATTTTAAACCAAATAAACAAATTTACATATTTAACATGTAACAAAACATTAATCTATGTTATAATTTTCTTAATTTCTTTGCTGAAGCTTTGCATCCGCCCCCTTGCAGATATATGTATTTCGTGCTTTTGCACTCAGGAAAGAAGTAGCTCAATTTTTAGTTTCTTGATTTCAAATTTGAAAAAATAGGTGGTTAAAATGCCGACTTTATTTTTGACCACCCTAATACTACGTTCAAATTGACGAGCTAAATGAACAAAACATGTTCATAAACAAGTAAAATCGCATGCAATTGTTGTTGGAAAATTGAACCAGTTAAATCATTTAACTCGTTTGAAAACCAGTTCAACGCAGAGTTGTATCGGAAAGCTTTCTGCTCCGGCCAATCAGAAAGACCCAAAAGCTTTGATTTGACACGCCAACGTTCAAAAAATTTATATTCTGAAAAATATTAAAAATGAAAAATTATCAAAATTGTATGCATGTCTGCCCGCCAAAAAAGAGGCCAAGGCGGTAATTAGTTATTTCCCATGAGGTCTCATCGTACGCAGAGATAAATAGTGCATACGAACTAAACATTTTGAAGTCTTAGGTAATCCGTATGCGTTAATATCATGAAGCAGCCATTCGCACAAAACAAACTAAAACAAAAAAACTTGATTTTGAATATTTTTTTCGAAATTTTAATGGTAAGCAAACAACCGTCAAAGTTAACTCCAAATGGTCAATGTGGTCGATTGTGTTTTCCAAAAAGCTCTTTTTCATTTAACAAATTAAATGGGGCCAATTTGAACGTAATATAATGTACATGTCTTTATAATATTTTTACGTCATATTTTACAGTAAGTTTTATATCCAAAATAAGTTGGTTCGCGAAACTTTTAGCAACAATTTTCGGATTGCCATCGCAACTTTACATATTTACCGGTCTTTAATTTCACAGAAGACGTTGGTCGTTTGTTTTGCATATATTAAGATGTATGAAATTCAATTTTCTTTGTGCTCAAATCGAAGAAAAATTTTCTTTCAACTTTGTAAATTATTATTTTTTTTTTGAGGATTAGGTATGGTAGCATGAAATGTCACAATCTGCTTAATTGTCATGTAGTTAATATGGCTTACGATCATGAAATTTCATGAAAGCCTTGTGCAAACACTTTTGAATGCCATACCGTTTAATAAAACCTTTTTAATAATAAAGGTACGACTGCACTAGGCGACGCGACACGACACTACACAGCGCGGCAAAATATTCTTTGCATGTATTCTTATGGAGCATACCGCACTACGCTGCAGCGGAGCTACGCGACGCGACGCTGCGCGGCAAAGTTGACCAACTAGACAAAAATGTCGCGCCGCGTGGTGTCGCGCAGTTCCGGTGCCGCATAGTGCGGTATACCTAGCGGAACGACATAACATTTCGTACTATATTTTTAACTTGAAGTAATTGGATTTCCAATTTTGAGTCAATATTCACATGCATTTCATTCAAGAAGAAAATTGTATGTAAAGAAACATAATATTTGAGAACAATTCGTCAAGGAAAATAAAAATAAAAGGCATTAACATTACATCAGCGTCACTGGCATCCATCTTGTTTGAAGGTTTTGACACAAATAAATTAAAAAATTTGCAGCGAAGTGTCGCCCCGCTGCAGTTTCAGTGCGATATACCAAAAAGTGTTGCGCCGTGTCGCGTAGTGCCGCTGCAGTGTCGCGTCGCTTAGTGCGGTCTTACCTTGAAGGGGACTCTTTAGGGTCTGAAATCCCATACTCCTTAAAGACAAAGTAGTGGTACATTTGTACCACCAAATATCTTCAGACATTACAATACGATTACTATCGTGAATGTTGCAATTGGAGCGCGCATAGTTAAGAGCAAACACGCAAACGAAGCGGACTAAACGGCTAAGTCGATTTCTCTTTGACAAACTGTTTAACTCGACATGAGTGCTTCAAAGCATACCTTCAACGATTCAAACACGAACCGGAACCCATATGCGACTACTGCGGAGGAGATGTAATAGAATACGTCCTTTTTGAGTGCATGTGATTTGACAGTACCAGATGCAAGCTTAGCAACATATCTGGCGAGAGTTTCACACTTGAGTCACTCATGGAGGCTATGCTACAAAGCAGCAAAAAGTTGTCGACAGCATGTGACGCAATAGCAGAGGGGATGAAGGGGCTAAGGGCGTCCGAATGTCTACGGCATAGCAGCGGCGACTAACTACCTTTCCCCCTCACGATGTAGTGATTGACGTCATTGCCGTGGGGTGTTGTCTTCCCTGGTTTTATAGGGACACTTGAGAGCCCCGGAAAAAACTGTTAAAGTATAAACAGAACGAGTTCGCTGAGTAAATTTCGCCGGACGGAGTGATGCCGACGGGTGATAAATATTTGCTTAACATTTCGTCAAGTAAAACTGAACCAGAACAATAATTTAGTGCAACTACAAATATTGCGGAGGATTGTCCTTAACAAAATGCTAGTTTGAAAATAAGAATAGGCTAGAAAAAAGCCACAAAAGAAACAAATAAAAAAGCTAGATCTAGCCTCAAAAAGGCTAAACTGGCGACACTGCTTACTGGGAACAGTTTTGAGAGGGTAAGACAGAAACCCTTCTCAGCCAGAAGTTACAGGCACGGTTGCCACTTGTAAAAAAAAAAACAACCAAAATCTGAAGAAAAATAACCAAATTGAAAAATAAACAACCAAATTTCTCATCCACTTACATATCTATTACAAAAAGCAAAACTTATTACAAAAAACGAAAGTTCAACAATTTTATTGAGATGACGGAAAATCGTTCCACATGACATTACACTCCTACCCTGTCAGGCCCGTCAGAATGTAGAATACTTATACGTCAATACCGGAAAAGTATACGAAGGATGTGTCATACGTAACGTAGAGATACGCCACAAAGGCCCAGGAAGTGCGCAATTTCAACAGGGACATGCGAAGAGGTGGGGTGAATCTCCGCATGCCGGGCACTTCATTTATTCTGCTCCCGTCCACATCAGGTGGTTGTGTGCCCAGAACAGCATTCACAGGTCTATAGTCTATATAACTCGAGATCGACTCCCTGTGAATGCCGTTTAGGGCCTGTCAAGAGGTTGTTTTATGAACCTCTGGACTTCGTCCAAGGCAATTTCCAACAAATCCGTTCCCTGGTTATCATATTCGAATAAAATTTTGCACAGCTTATTTTTTCCGCCCGGTCTAATGTACATATTGAAATATGTATTATGTATGTATGTATTTCTACTTTTGATTGGATATTTTTATTATGAACTTCTTGTGGTTGGTGTTAAATGATGATTTAATATACATACACACATACATATGTATGTACGTAGCACAGTGGGAGAAATGGTCAATCTAGCGGCGCTTTAGCGAAATTTTTAAATTCAGAATTCTCCAAATTTTGTTTGTTTTATTGAAAATTTATTTCCTAACGGGGTCTTTTCTGTTTTCGTTTTTGTTTTGTTCCAAATATTCGCATATCTGTGAGCTTTCGAATTTAACACACGTTTTAGCAAGTGCAATAATTACTATTTACCTATTTTTAAGTGCAATTTTTGTTGAACTGAAAAACTTAAATATAAAATTTTGTAATAAGATTTGTGACTTAATTATTATTATTTGGTATGTGTTTAAAAAAAAAAAAAGTCATTGTGGTCTGTTAATATATGTTTTAGATCTTTACAATGGAAAAAGAAATTGTCCTATATCAAAGTGTTTTTATATGTGTAATCCAATGTTCCGTAGAAAATAAGTGTGGTGGATTCGATGGGATTCGATTCAATGTTTGTATGATTTGTTAAAATATGTTGTGGTCTACGTCTTGTCCAAAAATTGGCTGCAAGTATTTGCAAGTTACTGATTTTTTTCCTTTTTTAGATACTATGGCAGAGTCTAAACGCACGCTTTTTTTAATATGGCACAGTGAACCAGTACCAACAAAAAAATTTCTAATGGTTGAAAATCATATATTTTCTAACGTCATTGATCGCTCAAAGTATAGTGAAGAGCAAACTCGCAAAATTCAAAAACAATTAAGAAATTTCATAAGCAAACTTGTAGAAAAGTGGAAAGAATGTCATAGGGTTATGTCAGTGTTCGAAGAGCGAAATAAGAAATGGTTGGATGAAAATATAATTTTTTCTAAGCCAACTGTTCATCACCGTATACAAAAACCTTTTTCAGAGTGTACAATGAAAACTAAAAAAAAAAAAATTGCATCAGTTGTTAACGAAACACCTAACCAAGAGTTAATGGTAGCGGCAAGCGTAAGTCTTTACAAAGCTGGAAAAAGAAATGCTTCACAGGTTGTTTCAAAATTGTTTGAAGAAAGTTCGACTGCTTCGAAAATGCTTAAGTCTGTAAGCTCTGAACAAAAAACCCCAATTCCGTATACACCTGAGGAAGCTTTATCTCTTTATATAGATGGCGGATACTCAAAAAGGTCGTACAAAATAATGCAATATGGTGCCAAAGAACGAAACTGCAATATTTATCCAAGCTACGATATTTTACTTAAGGCTAAAACAGAGTGTTACCCCAGTGGCATACACGTAACTGAACTTTCAGCGGAAGTTGCCCTGCAAAGTCTTGTAGACCATACTGTTGCACGTATAGTACAAGGATTTTCCAAATCTTTTGAAGGTGTTTTGACTGCAGCCAATATTAATGACAGCATAAAAGCAATATTTAAATGGGGCTGTGACGGCAGCAGTGGTCACTCCACTTACCGTCAACGTTTTAGTGCTTCTGATTGTGAAATAACTGATGAGTATTTATTTGCTGTATGTATTGTGCCTTTACAAATTAAAAAAGGAGACGCTGTTCTATGGCAAAATAACAGGCCTTCTTCAACTCGGTTCTGCAGACCCATTAAAATAATTTTTGAAAAAGAGTCAGCGGAGTTAGTTAAGGTTGAGATAGATAATATTAAAAGGCAAATTGTAAGCATTGTTCCGACAAAGTTGAGTTTTTTCGAAGTAGTACATGAATTCCATTTAACAATGATTGATGGGAAAGTTTTTAACACTTTAGCGGGCTCATCATCGCAGGCCTGTGGAATTTGTGGAGCAACACCAAAATTCATGAATAATCTAAATAATGTTCAATTGAGACAACCACAGGAGCACTTGTATGAGTACGGATTGTCAACACTCCATGCTTGGATACGGTGCTTTGAGTGTATAATTCATATCGCCTATAGAATACCCATACAAAATTGGCAAATTCGTGGAGAACATAAAGAAATCGCTCAGCAAACCAAAAGAAAGATTCAACTTGAGCTAAAAGAAAAAATGGGTATATTGGTGGACATTCCCACGAAAGGATCAGGCAATACAAACACTGGGAATACTGCAAGAATATTTTTCCAGCATCCAATTTTAGCCTCTACAGTAACTGGCGTAAAAGTAGAACTTATAAAAAGGTTTGGTATAATTTTGCGTACTATGGCATGTGGGTATGCAGTTAACATAGAGGCTTTTCGCATATATGCTTGGAATACAGCAGAATTATTTGTTTCCGAATATCCTTGGTTTTATATGCCTCCATCTGTACATAAAATATTAATACACGGAGCAGATATTATTGAAAAAGTTTCGCTACCAATAGGAATGATGTCAGAAGAGGCACTTGAGGCAAGAAATAAAGATTTTCGCAGTTATAGACGGAACCATACGCGAAAAAACTCAAGGTTGAATACAATGGAAGACTTAATACACACTCTTTTAGTTTCTTCAGATCCTATTATTACATCTAAGTCTAAAAGCACCTCCAAGTACTCCAAAAATCACATTGAAATAGATGATGAGGTCAAAAACCTTCTTTTACATATAAATGATCTACCTGACGGCAGTAATTCTGAGAGCTCCGACTCTGAATAGTTTTTTTTTTCTAATAAAACATAAAAACATATAAATAAATAATTAACACATATTTTTAGAATAAAGTAATGCATTTTTTCATTGTATTTAAGAAGCTATTAAGAAAGCGCCGCTAGATTGACCATTTCTCCCACTGTGCGTAGGTTAGAAAAAGTGCAGCGAAAGATGTGCTTAAACATGAGATTTATGTACATGTGTAGATATAGATAGAGAAAGCTAAATATACAAACTTGACACCAACACACATACTACATACATACATACTTACATTTGGCGGACAAAGGCATTTTCTTTTGAAGCCTTTGTGTTTGTTTGTTAGGCACGTCTACAACTACAATTATTTATGCTTGTCTTAATAAAACATATTTCTCTATTGACTTACATATACATAGTTTTTTTTTTTATTATACTCTTCTTAAAAGTAAACACATATTATACTTTAACATTTATAAGAATGCAGTTACTAATTTAAGGCTCGTTTGTACTACGATAAATCAAAAAATTAAAAATTGATTAATTTCAAGATATTTAACAATAATGACATACATACATAACGAGTACGACATAAAACAGTTTATTATGTAAAAAGGAAATTATAGTTGTTAAGAAACAAAATTAAATTACACATACATACATACGTATCATATTTAGTATGTACAAACATATGTATGTATGTATATATATTTACATACAGTTTAGTGAAATCATATTTTACATACATACATACATACTTGTATGTAGCTAGTATATCGACCCTTAACTCGCTTTTAAAAGCCATATCTGCTCTTTAGTATTAACTCATGTTTTATAAATAAATAATTCGTTTGATAAGTTTTCAATAAAGAACTTACTTATATCGAGCACTTTAAAGCTTAAATTGTTATGGAAATACGCTCATATTCAAAGCTGATTTTCAAATTTTCGTGAAACTTGGAAAAATTTCGTTATAACTTGGATGTTTTCTTGGATGTTAAATGTGCTCTCTTTTATAGCGGTTAAATGGGTTAAAGCGCCATATAGAATCGCTTTTGTTAGTAAAATTTGGTAAATACACATTTTCCTTTTATAAACGAAATAAAAAATTATTTAAAGTGTGCGTTTTCGTGTGGAAGTGCGTGTGTGTATGTATGTTTGTGTGAACTAACCGCCGTTGGGCGTCTCCAGCGTAGCCGTTCGCATCGGTGCATCAATTTTCACATGTAAGCTGGATAGGGTCGTGTCAACGGGTATATCGACCTCCTGGGTGCCTATATAGGCGTCGGCGACAAGTGTTAGCTATTTGTTAAAAAAAAAGTATAATAATAAAGAATTAGAAGCAAATTTGTGTTAAAAGTGCAGAGGAAGGGAATAAAATAATCAATGGTATTATATTAATTAAGAAATTTATAATAAAGGTATTTTTGAAATTTATATTAAAATCAAAAACATAGACAACTACATATTCGATTTGCATAATTTAAATTATAATTTATCCATAGTGGTGGTTTTTCTCCCGTTACTGTACATACATATAGATGGTTTTTTGGCAAAACCTCGTATTTAAAAAATACTTTTAAACAACACTATCCATAAAAAACCCTATAAATAACAAAAATAAAATTTTTAATAACTTGATATAAAAAATATTAAAGATTAATAGCCGTTTCACGAGAGCAGTTTAAGTGAAAAATGATTTTTTTATTTGAATTTAATATGGAAACTGACAAAAAAAAATATTTTTTCACTTTAATTGCTTTCGTGAAACCGGCAGTAAGTAGAGGAATTCTCGGACACGGGGTATTGTCGGACAGCAAGATATTTTTTGCCCCTAATAATGCTTGACAGTTTCAACCAACTGTCATCAACTCGTCTCATGCTGCCATAGCAAATATAAATTTGATGCTTCGAAAGTTTTTTTTTTTTTTTTACTTAGTACTTTGTTTATTTTGACAAGAACCAACTCAGTTAAATACATTTGTAAAACTCGTGGAAGCTT